GGTCATGAGTAGTAGAGTAAAGCACATCCAATTTGGGAAAATTTATCTAATAAAGTGTAAAGTGGTGAGATAAAAAGAACAGTTTTCGATAACACTAATGAAACTGAGATCTTATTAGAACCGAAACTGAAGTTGGAGTTTTGTGTCTGCTCACAGACTGCTTTGTGTTTATAAATCTGGCTGTTAGTTTTTCTGAGGATTATTAGTACGGGTTCTGGTATAAACACTCTTGAGTCTGGTGGTCCACCATCAGATCAGTTGTAGCCATGTTGTTTTCTGAAGAAATATTCCTGGAGCTTGTGGAGATTCCCATCTGCAGTTCATTGGCAGGTCAAGAAAAGACCTAGAAAAGAAATCCTAAGAAAAGAAAAGGAATTGAAAAAAGATTTAAGCTCTAAACCATTTTCAGCACCAATAAAAACTTCTTAAATCTGACTGAGGCCAGGTCTGGTCTCAGTCCGTCTGACAGGAAGTAAGACACAATGGAAAAGTAAAGCAGTCACACTGCTTTTTCAACTCCAAAACATTGACTAAAATGATCAGACCTCTTTTTATCAGATAAAATCCTTTTCTTAGCCATTTACCAATTGTTCTAATAATCCTCTAAAATTCTTATGTGCAGGACTCCAGTGTTATATTTTTTATCGGATCGGGACAGCTGAAGTATTTATGACTACATTATCGTTAAACTTATTACTATTGCCTATTTTCAATAGTAATTGTAGATAAATATGTTGGCATGATATTATTTTTATTAGTAAAAAGGATTTTCAGTCAAATGTGTTGCACAGCTTTGCTCTTGTTTTCCAGCTCAGTAGGATAACTTTCTGAAAGCTGATGCAAAAAATGCTCCAGAGAGCAGAGGAGTGCTGCTAATGGGTTGGAGCAGCACGGTAGCTGGGAGGGTAATGTGGTAAATGGTTGCCTGAAGAGTTAAACCAGTACTTCCAGCCCGAGAGCCTGTAAGTACGCAGGTGTCCTTAAAACTCCCCTTTGCTTTAATTATACCGCCACTGTTGGAGCTGCTGTTTTGTGCTAATGCTGCCATTCTGTGTTGGCCCACATTAATCTGCTAATGCTCCAAAGAGCTTCCTGTTATTTTTGGGATGTTTTTGTTTTTGCTTTTACCAAAAAAAAAAAAAGTTCTTTTAGAAAGCTTTGAGGCATGTTTGAGCTCATTAACCAGCTCCGATTTCCCAGTCATGCAAACTGTGGAGTGCATCTAAAAAGGGTTGCTCAGTCTATTACTCTATTTCAATGATTTCTTCCTCTTTAATCATTAGTGATTTATTTTATGATAGATATGACATCCTATTTACTTGAGTTATAATATTTATATTCCGCATTCAAACCAAAAAGGCAGAAAAAAGGTCTATTTCACAATAGTTCAAATATAGGTTCTGCATCCTCGGGTGTTTTTAGAAATAATTTATTTTCAACAACTGGCAGAAAGCTAAGGCATTGAAGCAGCGACTAATACATTTGATCCATTAGTTTTTAGAGCACATTTATGTATCAGCAACTTCAACCAAGCAGTTTCAGTACGGGCATATCGAGAAAATTTCCACCTTTCTTTCTACAAAGAAGAGATTTGCAGACATTTATTGTCCAACTTCTTATATTCTCATTTCAATTACTTTCTTACAGCTGCTGTGTTTGGGATCAGTACTTTGGTGTCATAGTTTAAATTAACCTCTAACCACTGGACAGAGCATTTATGGTGTACCCAAGTTTGAAATGTATGCACATCCTCTGGCTGCAGAATTAGCTCAGATAATTTCACTTTGGATTTTTCTATTAAAAAAAGAATTGTTCCCCTCCTATTGGTTTGTATCGACACAGCTATAACAGCTTAAACCTACCATCTTAAAAAGGGAAATCTCTTGTTTGAGATTTCTTTATTTTTGTCCTTACAATCTAGATTTTATTCTACAGATTATTGGGGAACTGTATTCTGCTCTTTGCTTGAACTTGGTATGCCCACTCCTGGGAAAAGGGCTAGAGTGGTAAATATTTTCCACTTGTCAGTAGCCTTATCTTGCTGCAGAAAGAAGGACTGCACATTGTCTGGGCTTGGCTTTAAAGTCGGCAGATTGATGGACAGCAGCAGTTGTTATTCTCTAGGATCACTGCTGCTGTCTCTCCTCTCTGCATGGTTTTAACACACACCTGAAAGCTCCAAACTTCCTCTACAGAAAAGCTCTAACTTGGTTGTTATCAGGTAATCAATGTGGGTGCATCTCAGTAAATTAGAATATCATTGAGTAATTAATTAACTTGAGCGATGCAATCCAACACATTTAATTCCTATAGATCCAATAGATGCATGTCTGTGGTGTATTATAGACACACGATGAGAAAAACCTGAGCAAAGAACCTTCTTTACTATGCAGTCACAAACACCAGTAACACCACATTAAAGCTGTAGTTCATGGGCAACTTTTAAGCTATAAATGCATTTAAGTATTTAAAGAATTGATATGTGTTATGTAATTTTTAAAATGTTAAGGATAAGTTTCTTTTTGTGTAATTTGTGATTTGTTCAAAGGTTCAAATCATCTGTGTAAATGAGCTGGATCTGGTCCATGCACTAAGTGACTCATTACTTTCTCACTTCAGTTTAAGTGAACTGGGTGGGAGGGAAAATTCTGTGACTCGCACAACAGCATCTGTCACTCCAAACTAACAGCTAAAGTTGGCTTTAAATTGAATTTTTTTTCTCTTAAAAATGAACTAAATAAGATTTCTATTAAGCAATTATATTTAACATATAAAAAGTGAGGGGGGCAGCAGGAAGGAGTCGCTACAGACACAACGATGTTTTTATTTTTTCATATGGATTTAGTTTTAAACAGAGAAAACATTTAACTCAATAAAACAATAAATGGGAGCTGTTGAAAGAAACTATTAAATGGGTCAAATAGTACAGTATTTACCTTTAATCATATGTATATCTACATGCTACTTACACACTATATAATTGCATTTATAAATGAAACAATATATGTAATCTAGGGTTAAAACAATTAATCAGATTAATCGATTATTGCAATAATCAACTAATTTAGTAATTGTTAACTGGAATTTAGAGACTGTAAAAACACGATTTTAGCTTTCAGAGCAACCCACGTAGAACAGTAATTATACCAAAATTGTAAAAAAAAAGAAAACATTTTTCATTTAAGATACCGGTAAGCTTTTTTTGTCTGTCAATATGCTGTATTCAGCCTCCTTAAGTAAAAACAATCGACAGATTGATCAGTTTGCAAATTAATCATTAGTTGGGGCCCTAATGTGATCTGCATTATAAACACGACTTAGATTCTTCAATTTAATTTGAGAACAAAGCAAATCTAAGATGTTACAAATAAAATCCAATTGAAAAAACTGCAAGACTATAATTTTAATGTACTTATGAAATGTGCAGCTGTTATTTTCCAGTGGTACGGGACAATTTCACTTTCTCTGAGCATTTATTCCCTACAAGTGCTGTATTATTGACCTAAGTAATTATTTCATGTCTCAAATAAAGCTAATACATTTTCATATTTTAGACGATGCTGCTTGAACATAATTTTGAATTGTGATCAGGGGCCCCTTAAATTTTTTCAAGGGCTGCAAATGGCCCCCAAAGCACACATTGGACACCCTTTATTCTATTAATTCTGTTCCCGTCATTATCATAAATATGTGCAAAGCCATTTTTGGGGTGTGACCTAAATCCTTTCTTCTCTTTTTAAACAAAGTCTGGTGGGTATGTAGTGTACTGCCCCCTGTCCTTATTAAATAAGGACAGGGGGCAGTGTACGAGCATGTACGAGCCATTTTCTCCTCGTGCATGCTCTGTTTAAAAGTTGCTGTTTGCATCGCTCATACAAGCTTACTTTCCAAAAGATTTGCAATTTGAGAATGACTGACAATTAGTAGGACCACTTATTTTCAGTGGCGGCTGGTGAAAAATATTTTTGGTGGGGCTGATATAGCCTAGTGTATGTCTCCAACTAATCCGGAATAAGAATTCAAATAAACAATTGGACAATACATGCAATTTAACAGTAATGATTTAATTTACTATATAATAACAGTAACAGTGATGATTTGGGTCACTGTGACGGGGTTCTTTGGCCTCCAAGAATCCAGGCTCAGTCGGGTTACCGGTGTTGGTGATTTATTGAGCTCAAAAACTCAAAACAGGGTGCAAAAGAAGCTAAACATATACAAGATACTCTGGGCCTCAGCCTCCCTCCAGTTACCAGCAACGTAACAAAGAAACAGAAAACAAAAATTGCCGCTTTTCTTCCCACAGCCCTCATTAAATAGTTTAAGCCCCTCACCTCAGGCTCTCTTATTTCTGATTTCTTCTCATAAATCAGTTTTGTCCATATATTACCTCCACAAACAATTGATGTACAAAAACAAATCATTTTTACAACTTAATTCCTTTACACAGATTCATTGACTTATTCAATTACACCAAACTGGGTTTGAACCCAGCAAAGACGCAGCCAGACTGAAGATGACAAGTCCCCATAGCATAAACACGTACACACCCACACACCCAGCGCCCCCTATGGGCCGGCCGCCACTGCTTATTTTGATGATTCATCCGGAAAAAGAATGTCCTCCACTATACCTTTAAGGCTGCACACGTATGGTTATTACTAGAATATCAGTATTTATTTGCTAGCCTACTGTCATGATGTTGTGGTCCATTCACCTTTACTTCCAACTTGCTGTATTAATACCCACCTTAATGTCCAGCAGGGACTTTTAAGTTTTCTGTATTGAAGTCAAGGCAATGAGTCTTAAATGTATGAAGCAATAAAATAATTTCAGAGATTAATGCGTTAAACAACAATGTATAGCAATGCAAAGTAACTCATGAATGTTGATTAACATTTTTATTACCGGTAACACCGATTTTATCGAGCTTCTCCACAGAGCTGTTTGGACCACATACATTTTTAATGATATTTTGTCTCCGTGTATATTTCTTGCAGGAAAATGGCATCGAGGCAGTCTTCTCTCCTCATCCTCGCCCTGCTTGGACCCTCCCATGGGAGAGCTTACCAGCAGCTATCAACCCCACTGAAGGTATAGCTACATTTTGACCTCCAAGCTGCTGCTTCATCTGGTTTCTCTCTGCTGTTGCCTCCCCTGAATTTTAAAGCAGCAACGATGATACTATTTATAACAAGAGAAATGTCTGTCAATGATTTCTACCATGCTTACTATACTTTATTGGAAATTTTCAGTCAACCTTTACATTGAAATACTAGGAGGCTTCATTATTTACTACTGAATAACTTCCAATGGGATCATTAGGCATTATTTTCTTCATTATGACCTAATTTCCTGGCCAGCCTTCAGCAGGGGACGTTCATCAGGGTGTTGCTGGAAAGGTTTACAGACATCGGATATGAAGACATTTATCTATCTGTCATCAGATAAGAGATTTTCCTTCCAATACTCTTGCAGGAACATTCAAATGAATAAAGCAACCATACAAGCTCTGAAATACTGTAGATATTTCCAAATGGGTGGAAACTGTAGCACTTTTCTGGGCTTTTTTTTTCTATGTCTGTTGACAGGATTTGGTGTCATGTTTAAGCCAAACAGAATCCTTCTAGACTTTTTGGCTACTTTTGGTTGGAAACCCAATAGAACTGTGTCGATGCAGTTTCTTTTACTGCATGGACACATGTAGGTTATCCATTTCATGGTGAAATATGTACACTAGTGTATCAGTTTGCCTTAATGATGCCTAGAGATCACAGTTGTTGAAAATCAAATCGTGTTTTCTTTTGGCCAGATGGTGAAAAACTCAATAATCCTGTTGATCAGCAAAAACACTCTCTGAAAGTTAAAGTTAACTGTTTGTTTTTAGAAATGTGCATGAGACTAAAACACAGAGACGTAAGAAGCTATTTAAAAGTAGAAATGTTTCTTATTATATCCAGATGTCTGTATTTCATCCAGATTGTGAGAGAGAAAAACGGAACGGCCTTTGATGGCCTTGATGGCAGCAAGTCTTACTGTAGGGTGACAAAGATTATTTCATCTTTTCTCCAAACGATCTTGATAGGAGCAATCCCTGATTGATTGATCGAGCTTGCCAGGTTAAGGGAGGGAGGATACATTGAGACTGCTTTTACTAACTTTTACTAAATAATATGAAATGTCAAAGTTGGCAAAACGTGTAAACTTTAAACCACTTGGTGTTTGTTTTGAGTATGAGAAAAAAAAAATCTGCCTTACATTGTATGATTATGATGTAACTTATACTTTTTTTATGAACAATTAAGTAAACATTTGCAACAGAAGTTCTAAAAAAAAAAAAAGAATAATTATCTTAAAGAAATTCAAGCTATAGAAATTGGAATTGTCTAAAACTGGTATGTGCAGTTCAGAGGTTTACAAATAATAAAGATTATAACTGATTGGTGAGGGAAAATAAAATGACAGCCACCTTAATGTGTAGCAGATTTAGTCCTTGGATATTTATAATGGCTGAGGTTAAGATGAATAGACATATACGTTTTATTTTATTTTATTATTATTATTTTGTTTCATGTAACCACTAATGGCAGTCAAACACCCATTATGTATTCTTGAAGTTGATTTCTTTTTTTTCTTTTTTTTTTTTTTTTATAGTTTGGCTTCTCTGTTTTTATGAACTCACCTACCTTACTTTTTCCTCTAAGGATATATGTTTGACTTTTTTCCCTGTGTTGAAATGTTGGCAGATAACCTATTGTAATCAAAGTGATTGCTGTATATCTGCTTTTGAATCATGGAAGTCTGTGCCAAAGATCCTGGCACTTCATGAACTTAAAGAAAGGTATTTGGCAAAAATTCAAAGAAAAGTCTGTAGAGGATTAGTTTTGGAAACATGATACATAATAATTCCAAAAAGTTTAAACATAAAAAAATCTCTTGACACACACTCGTATATCTATATGTATTAATACATACACACACACACACACACACACACACACACACACGGGCAAACTGTGAAGACACTGCCAGGAAAACTGGAACCACCAAGGATCTACAGAGAGGAAGGTAAAAGACAATCTATGCTTCGATGCATAGCCTCTGCAACCGTCGAATCTGTCTCTGTGCATGACCACTCCCCCCCATACAGAGGTTCTGCAACCGTCGTTGCGCACCTCCAGAAAATCCTGACTACGCGTTGGTCGGTCCAAAACCCGCGCAGACCTCAAGCGGAAGTCTGCAGACAAAAAGCAGCTGTAATTGGTCCTTGGTAGCCTTTCCGACTGTCTCTGTGGTTGTCCTTCTTGATTTGGTGCCGGGGCGCGCCATTTTTAAAAACCGAGGAACAATGGACTACTACGACGAAAGGTTAATCAAGGAGGTTTGGAAGTACAACCACTTGTACAATGCCTCAGACAAATTCTATAAATTAATATATCCTCTTCAATGTCTAGCAACTCTAGATCCATCTCCGTGACCGTGATATCTTGCAGAGGCGCCATTGTTGTTTTGGAAAATAAACACTCCCGCCGGCGCCACTGAAGTTCTTGTGACTATCCGCCGAAGTTCTCTAATAGGCTCCCCCTTGCGCTTTGGCGGTAATATGCTGTGCGTCCCTAGAATTCCAGACCGACGGTGCAGAAGCATACAAGCAAAACTGGTTCTGGACCAGACCCAAGCGACATTTGATGTGTGCGGTTGCAGAAGTCTAATCCTCCCTTAAGTCCTAAAGAATCAGCTGAATGGCAAGAACAAGATTTTGGCAATCAACACCTATGCCCTGCCAGTCATCAGAAATACTGCCGGGATAATAAGCTAGTCAAAGGAATAGATGGACACCACTGATGTCAAGTAAAGAAAGCTTCTTTCCATGCATGGAGTGTTGTCCTTTCACCAGAAGGCAGTTTGGCCAGACACCACAGCGGTGTCCGCATCAAGCTTCTTAATTTTACGTGCCAAACAGTGAAAGCCCTTAGTTATACAAAAAAAGGTCCTGTTTAATTTCAGAATACAATCAATATAGCAACTGACTAAATACTGATTGGTAAATATATTTTAAAGCTTAAAAATTTTCAACCTTTTGTTTAACAAACACAGGGCCGTCTTATCTAGTTGTTGGTTTCTCCATCCAAATCCAATGGATCTTTAATCATCTAAAACATGAGTTCTTCATAGTTTGGTTTTGCATTTTAACAAATTGTTTTATAGCTCAAAGCTTGGATTATTTCAGTTATATTGCATCTGACATTTTCATCTAAACAAGGGAACTTATAAATCTAAAAGGTTTGTGGCCTTATGTAACATGCTTCTTCACAAAACAGATATACTGCAGGGTTCACAGAGGTGTCATTGTGTAAAGCAGCCAGCATATTGTCTCCAGCTTTTTGTTTAATACGTGGGAGTATGGGAGGTAAAACATTACGGTGGGAGATGGAGATAAGAGTGAGCTACCAGAGTTATCAGGGAAGCGAAGCAGAGGAAGAAAGGTGAGAGCGACAATGAGGCGTGAAGAAGGACTCGAAGTGAGGGAATCGCATAGCTGTTATGCTTAAGACATGAAGGCTTTTTGTCCTTCAAGGTTAATTTGGTAGGAGTAAATGGGTTTTTTTTTCTATGACAAAGAAACCTAAGCTGATAGAGATGGAGATTTCACTCTGTGCGTCGTTTGTTTTGAATTTAGCAGAGATGGTGTGATCATTTTTTTATTATTTCTCAACTGGCAGATTTAACAGTGTTTTTTTATCGTAAAATATAGTAAGGTAAGAAATAGTCCTTCATGAAAAAGTTTAACAGATATATTTTCATAGAGTTCACAGATTTTACAGCATTGTCTAGCCACTCAGGGGAAGCTGCGTGTTTTATGCCATCATTCTCTTCACCAAGTAAAACTCGAGTGCTTTTCTGCATCACTGTACAGATCTGATTAGGTGAGCTAAAGATCCATCAAGTTTTCATCCAATCACCTATCAAATGCATGACATGGAGATTGGAAAATAAATCCAATGTCAGCTCACTGCTTTTTTTTTCATTTTTTATCCGTGTTCTCCATATGGCACCGTTTAAATCCAATTATTTCAGAGGCTTCATTTAGCCCAATTTGTTCGTCTGGAACATTGGTTTCTTCTCTCCACAATTTCTTTTGCAGCTTACTGGTTTTCCCTGCAGCACACCACCTTACTATGACTTAAGTTTAATCGTCTATGTAGATTAAAATGTATGACTTTCAGAGACCAGGTTTAGTCTGTGCCTCCAGAGCATAGGATATATCTCAGTGGGACGTTACAGTGGATAAATAAATTTGGCAACAAACTTGTCTCGTACCTCTCATGACATACACCACTGTGACAAATAGGATAATGTCTCACTAAATCTAAGATATGCGAGTAGCATCAGTATGTATATTAAAAACATCATAAAGGCTTTAATAAATAAAGGATAGGATAGGATTTTTAATAGCAGTCTAACTACCTAAAGTTAGGGCTGTGTGATATGGCAGAAAGATAAATCGCTATATAATCCTTTCAAATCAATCTATCAATAATTATTTTTGTTAACTTATTAAAAATAAGGACCAGAGGAAAACAGACACTATTCAAAGGAATACTGGAGGATTTTCATAACTTTTTTTAAAAGAACCCCCCCCTCCACTTTAAAAATAAAAATGCACATGCACAACCATGTACCCGCTCCCAAGAAGGAACGCCTTTTAAACTCCTATTAGATTTGCAGTTTTTCCACTATGTAAGATTCACCAACGGTGAGTGAATATGAGGATGAGCATGTAGAAAGGTGTTGGGTAAACCACCGGTCCCCAACCACCGGGCCGCGGACCGGTACCGGTCCGTCGGTCATTTGGTACCGGGCCGCACAGAATAATTTATCGACGATCAGCGTCTGAGTGATGTTTTATTTTGAAAAATATAAAAAATTGCGGTATTCTCTCCAAATTACATCAGTCGGTGCATCTGTGCCTCTTGACACAGGTTAAGACTGGTTAAGACTCATCCTATCTATAACATCCTATCTTTGTGAAGCGGGATTTTCTGCGGTTACAGCGACCAAAACAAAGCTACGGAGCAGACTGGACATCAGGAGCACACTTCGTGTGTCATTGTCTCCGATTACGCCTCGATGGGACCGGCTTGTTTCAGGACCCACTCCTCGATGGGACCGGCTTGTTTTATTTTTATGCTGTTTGTATTTGATTTTATGCCAGTCGTATCATTTTACTTGATTGTATTTACACAATTTCTAGTAATGATTCTGCCGAACCTCAACATCTGTTGTTGTTTCCTTTGTCTCTAAGCATTGATTAGACTCGTTTTTTGTAGCACTTCCAAAAAGACAACTCTGTCAAATACATTCACCAAAGGCTGCTTCGCCCGACGCTCTGCAAACAACAAAATATCACAATTATAACCAAACCTTACTGAATATTACCTGGCGGCCATGTTGATTTGCTTGTTTACCTATAGAGAGTAGTAGAGCCCTGAATTGTCACTAGGAGGCGAGGTGTGTAAGCGTTTGTAAGTAATCGAGCTCTGCACGGTTAACTGCTTGGTCCGAACTTGGCACGGATCAGTTTTCAGAGGGTAGTGTAAATGGGGCTATAACCTTAACCTTTAAATATAAGACGGCCCTAATACCAACCTTGCTTGGCTTAACTTCGAGTTTGCATACATCTCCCAGAATGCCATGCGGTTCTCTGTTCACTGGAATTCTATGAGGTATGTTTTTTAGATATTGATGAAGTGTCTATCATGGTACATATGTATTTATACAGTTTTATTACCCTGTCCTAATGTTAAAGGTAAACTCCCTTACCTGAGCTCTCAGGAAAACCTAAACTACAAAGTGTGGAAGGAACAAAAGTACGGAGCCCCTCTGATGACATGGTCAAAAAAATTTTTTTACTGTGGCCACGAAGTAGTATTTCGTGCGCACAAAGTAGT